AAAATGAGAAAAAAGAATACGCTGAGAGCAGTTAAAAGACCAACCGCTCACGGTTGAGACAAGTATGGGAATGATGGATTACAAAGATACTGCTGGTTTTGATTTCAATTTTATGCCACATGATGCTGCGGTCATTCTCTACAGAATACACTCTATTTGGCTGGAAATGGCTGCCGTATGTTTTTCTGAGAATGGAAGTTACCAAACTAGTACTTTTGCAAAGCGAAAAAACCAGAATTTTTGGTATTTACAATTTTTGCTGTAATTAGAGATGTTGCTAATGTTTTACAAAACTTCGATGCGCACAACATAGAAGAGGCTTTGCGCTATTGTATCCTAGTTTTCTTTTGCCAGGAGCTGTTCTCGCATGAACGGAAAATAAAAGTTTGCGGATGTTACAAACGTGCAAGTAGAAATCCGTCCTTAGAACAAATTTAAAAGCTATAGAATGCTCAACAGGCACTGGGACCAAAGCTGTTTTTTTTGCATACGTCTTCTAAATTAAAATCTATTGGAATTCGGCACACTTTTTATACTTTTAAGCGATATTTTTAAGTTTTTATTCGCGCAATTGTATTTAAAATTTTGGTATGCGACGTACAATGCTTTTAATTGAAAATCCAATATTCTTATTCCTAAGCAATGCAAAAAATTCTTCTGGAAATATGTTGTAGACAAAAGTTTGCTCTATCACGCTGAGCATTTGCCAAGGTAAAAGAAGCAGATATTGTGAAGGCGTGGGGCGAATCCATTACGACTACCTGCTGCCATGACAGGTGGACTTGCCGAGATTTTGTAGGGCTGCGTGGAAGCCAAAAGAGGCAGTTTTGCAATTCAAGAACTGGGCTGTATCTGCGATGGGTCGCGTCGAAATTGAGCTCCGAACAACGAGGAAAAGGGTACCAGAGCCAAATGTCCCGCGCCCCGCATTTGAGGTAGCGAGGTAGCGCGCAGTGCGCGCAGACGCAGACGAGCAGCGGAGACAGACCTGAGGCGACGGGCATTTGGCTCTGTTCGTGGATCTTAGCGGGGTCTTAACAAAACCCTGCAACATTATATATCGTTGTGATCCACATGAGACGGCCAGGAGCACTGACAACGTCGCGGGTCTTGAAAATCACTCCATAAGGAGACAGACGTATGTGGCGACTCTCTGCGCAGATTTGAGCGCATTTCTCGTTTTTATTGAACTCCAGCGGCTTTCATGAACTTCCAACGCTCACTCGCAATTCAGAGAAAAGTTAAGTGAAAAATTCTGTCCTAGTTTTTAGATGAATTTTCGAATAAAAACCTTTTTTCAGCAAAAAAGTCCATAAAAACACAATCCTTCGATTTTTTGAGCTTCTTTTGAATGTCACTGCTATATTTGCCTCATTCACATTCATCCCTATATGGCTATGTCATTAGTTATGCCATAATTTCCGGGGCTTTGCTTCGGATGACTTTCGCACTTTTCTCCAAGTGAAGGTTGTGTTCTACCATGACGCTCGAAGTGAAGGTTACCAGAGTACATGGCTCTATGTATCGAAAGTATGCATAGAGGGCCTCTAGTGTTGGCAGGGGCGAAAACGGCGAAAAGAATCGCACTAAACCACCACAAAGGGGTTGCCGAGTCTTGATGATATGATGACTTATGCGCGCAAATGCTAAGCGTAGCTCGCAAGCCATCCCGGCAGCCGCGCCAGAAGCGCTCGCGGGCGTTCAGACTACGGTAACTTGAGCGATCTCGTGCAGTCGACTTTACCATTATCACAAACCTGTGCACCTACTTATACAGTAGGTGTAAAAAAAACACATAGACGCACAAAAACTTAAGAATGCTGAGAAAACAGATACTTTTTGTCCCTATCTGAAATGCAAACCCAAGAGCCGAATGTATACCTTTTGAGTCAACGGGATTGGCGGTAGGCGGGGTTCGAGGCGAAATAAGGCTAGGGAAGAATAATCAAAGAGCATGCTCGCGAGAGAAACGCAGACTGCGTCGCGGGTGTTAGCGGTCGCCTTTCAGCGGCAATCCCGTTAGATCAAATGTTACCTAGTATTGTAGTAAAGCACAATTCGGTGACGTTGAGTGGGAAGTCTGCACTAGTTACTCATGAACTCAAACTGAGAGGGGTGCTTGCTCGGAAACGTAACAATACTCGTCCGGTGGCAGTTCCTTTGACCAAATTTACGTATTCTCATTTACAAGTGCATTTCAAGCTGCATCTATTTGATGGAGTCGAGTCCAAAACAATCGCACAAATTCTACTATCAAGCTTGTTTCTATTGGTATTACAAACTCCGAAGGAAGAGCAGTACACAACTTGATTAGATGTATGTGCGCTTACAACAACTGGGTGCTCCTTGAGTGTCGCTTCCGTCTGAGTTCTCAGGTGTGCAGGTGTTTAATCTTGAATAATACTAAGGAACGGTCAAAGCGTCATCGATAGACTCAGGCAACGGATAGGACCCGTCCGCCGGAGAAATGGCAGGGTCGCGGCGTTTCCCCAGCGGTGGGTCTCCCATTTGTCCGGCGGAGCCCTCCCATTTCTGCTCCGGATACCTCCCATTTTCTGCTCCGGATCCCTCCCATTTTCTGCTCCGGAGACCTCCCATTTTCTGCTCCGGATACCTCCCATTTTCTGCTCCGGATACCTCCCATTTTCTGCTCCGGAGCCCCCCGATTTTGTGCTCCGCAAGTCTGCCGCGGCATACTGTAATTAGCCCTAATTAAGCTCCAAACCCCAATTTTGTCTAAACCCCACCCAAATCAGCCGAATACGACCCCTCCCCCCCCCCCCCCGGGGTAAGAGTTCAGCGCGACCCTCAACCCCGTTCTTTACCCCCTCCCTCTCACCCCTAGCGTTTGTGGATAGAAGATAGAAGAAAGAATGAAGAGATAAGACATTTATTTCAAATTTGCAAATCAATGCACTACCACAAACCATTTCTTTCCATGTAAGATACTTTATCTACTATGACAGTGGCGTTCTCCTCAAGTTCTGACATTGCCTCTTCGAGCTGGCCCGCTCCACAGAAAATCAGTTCTGATAGAGGACAAGTTCCGAGTACTCGAAGTCGTAGGAAGAAGGCTACAACGAGGAACAGAGAGGCTAGAGTGAAATCGCGTACAATGTGGTAAAAAATACTATCCCACAAATAGAACAACACAGCAGATTAATTTAACAGCTGACTGAAGATGCTCTACCTTCCTGGTATATCTCAGGTTGTTATCAGCCGTATACCGACTCAAGCACAGGTATTGATGTTCTCATATAGGGGCCTGCAGGATCGCGAGAGCCGGCGCGGCTCTTCCAAATCTGGCGGACTCGCGCCGGGCAAATTTCTCCGGCGCGAGTCCGCCAAATCTGGCAGAGTCGCGCCGGAGAAATGGCGTACCTTTGCAGCAGGGCCGGAGAAGCGTCCCATTTGCCTGCCAGTGATGTTACCGCGACGGACCGCCCATTTGCCCCGCTCTCATTGGTCAACTGGGTCCGGCGCGACTCTGGCAGATTCGGACTGTCCGGTGGAGGGGTCCGGTCGATTGTCTGAGGAGAGGAGCTATCATCCATAAGCGTGAGCGTGCAAGAGCTTGTCAGCCTCTAATGAACGCACATCATGCCGTTCAGCGATGACAGGAGCTTGACAGCCGCATTTGCGACGCTTTGGCACGATAAACTATCTGCCTTCGTCAGGGACAAGCCTTGCAATACAATTCAACCGTTCCTACTAAATCACTAATGTCGGAGTTTCAATAATGTTGTTCTACTATCACTTATCCTGAGAATCAGATTCACTGACAAAATGACAACTTCTGCTACCTTTCCACTTTACAGGAGTTGGTGCAGGAAGGTAAGTAAGCGTGCTGATTACTAACAAAGCGTAACAAAGTGCCATGTAAAAGTGAGCACAGGGAAAGGTCGTACAAGGATAGAAATGGGACCTCTATCACAGTCTTTTGACAGAGCCGGGCGGAGCCCAGGTAAGCCAGTTAGTGCTTTCCACTAAGTTTTGGTTGCAGAGATAAAGAATAAAAAAGAAAAATTTTTGAGTTTGGGTGATTTGAGGCAAGAACTTCAAAAAATTCAAAATCTGTGCTATAGAATCAAAGAGCCAAATGTCATAAATTTTTTGGCTTCCTCTTTTGACAGTGTTTGTGCTGATGAACTTTTCTATGAAAGTTATGGTTTCCCAGATAAATGCCGAAAAAACAATTTCTCAACCTCGGCAGTCCTCTCCAAAATCATGGGCTCTTTGCGTCTTATTGCACAATTTTTGGATTTCCAAAAGCTCGCCTCGAATAACAGGGCATCGAATAACCTTCATTTTTCATTTTTATCTCTACAGTTAAAGCTTAGTGGAGTGTATTCAAAGTTTCTTCGGAAAGTTGACTATTTACCCTGTCTAACAAAATTAAAGTCAAGCAAGAACATCGTGGCAGAAGAAGTTGCGAATTCTTAAATGAGGCACAGAACTTTCGGATCGACCTGATATTTACGAGGCACAAGTACTGCACTCAGTACAGTGTATACCCGCCCAAGGGCTAACGAAAAACCAGCAAGAATAGAGTGAGTGCACATGCTTGCCCTTCTTCTATTCTTCCAATGTTCACAGTTTACAGAAATGAAGTTGAGCTGTTTTACCCATTCTGGAGTAATTGTTCGACAGGTATAAGGCCTGTTTCAAAGACGTATGGTTTAAGATTTATTCAATTTCCACAACATCACATCGGCATCTTCCGCACTTCTTCTCAGTCGCTACTATTCTATCTCATTGAAATTCAAATTACGTTTCCGGTTAAACTCTGAGAATTGCTACGGTAAGATTCTTGATTTTGAAAAATTAGAGAACACGACTCACTTCGACAGAAAAAATCACAATTTTTTGGAGATTTGAAGAATTTCTTCTCAATAAGTTTGATTTTAGGGGGCATGAGCGGGCAGAAGTATCTGCTGGAAGAGTGATACGTGGTTAGAGTTTGCACTGAATAAAGTTTTAAGTGATTTACCCTCCTCGATCCTTGTCACAAAGCATTGCTCTTGGCCCTAAAACATGTTGATGATTTTGAGTATTGCTTTTCGCAAAATGTCTTTGTGAATAAACAAAAAATCTGCTTCTCAAGCTGAATACCCAATACTGTTCAGTTTTTTATGCAATAAAGACCAGTAGATTGCTGCATTCATAAGGAAGACTAAGACCTCCTGAGATAAAACATCAAACTCGAACAATTTTGCCCTGGCCAGTTTGTGGCACTTTTGTAAATTCGGTTGGGTCTTGAGCAAGATTTTGGGATCAACTTTACAATGCCTTCAACATTTCTAATTTGTTTTTCTCAAAATTCGGATGATTACTGGATTGTAAGACGCACGTCAGAAAATTGAGAACTCTTTGATAGAGTTCTGCGGCTGGAAAAGATCTTCGTTCAGAAAATGTGTAATTATATCATATCTCACCGTAATTTCCTTTACTGCTGGAAAGGAGAAGAGGCTACTTATGAATTATTTATCTAGCAATAGCGTAAAGATGTTTGTACCTTCACCAGCCTACAGAACTGACTTTAGATCTATAATATTTTCATAGACTAGAAAAATTTATATGTCTCTTTTATGTAAGACTTGTAAAGCAACTCAAAGAAGTGCATCAACTAACCTTCTAATGGTGGTAATGGGCCCAACGTTGGTGCCCCGGAAGAAGTAGTGGTTGTCGCGCTGATAACACTTATTGTCATGGTTGTCGAGTTGGTAGTAGGTGATATCGTGGTTGTAGTCAACGTTGTTGTGCTTGTTGTTACTGTTGTTGTTGTTGCGCTAGTAGCAGGCGTTGTCTTTTTTGTCACGTTGGTAGCAGATTTTGTCACTGTAGTCGCGTTGGTAAGAGGTGCTGCCGTAGTTGTTGCGCTGGTAGCAGGTGATGTCATTGTTGTCGCGCTAGTAACAGTTGTTGTCGTAGTTGTCGCGTTGTTAGTAGGTGTTATCGTGGTTGTCGTCAGTGTTGTTGTGCTTGTTGTTGCTGTTGTTGCTGTTGCGCTGGTAGTAGCTGCTGTCGTTGCTGTTGCGCTAGTAGCAGGTGTTGTCGCTGTTGTCGCGTTGGTAGATATTACCACTGTAGTCGCGTTGGTAGCGGGTGCTGTCGTTGTTGTCGCCAATGTTGTTGTGTTTATTGATGGTGTTGAATTGGTTCTGCTCGGTGCTAAAGCTTTCGTAGGCGTCGGTGGTGTAGGCGTTGGTGTTCGTTTCATGTACTCTGTTTTTATATCGTTATACGTAACTCTACAATGAGATGGCTCTACAGACTTACGACGGCACCATTTCTCGCACTTCGTAATGTTTCGAAAAATTTTCCATGGAAAGGTAAAGGCAGGTAGAAATGGACAGTAGTATCTCAAAAGTCAAATGATTTGTATAGCCAGAAGCAACATCCGTCATTGTCTTACAATAGCAAATTTTGCAGTTTTAAAACTCACATTAGTTTTTTTATTGATCTGCACAACTTCTTTCTTCCTAAATAAACACTTTTTGAACTTGGTGCATATTATACTAATAATCACATAACGAAGGTCTATCGTTTACGTTGGTAGTTGCAGGAGAAATTCCTCAACCCTATCCCGATTACCTCATGTCAACTGACATGAACAATGACAAGTAATTTTGTAAGCCTCAAAAATCAGGAAACAACTTTTTTGTCGACAGACACGCCAAGTAAAACGCACAGGCAGTATGTCAGAATAGTATTGCAGCTCTACCTGAATTTACCTGATGTTTAAATAACTCATCCAACTCTTATCCCACCATCAAATCTCTTTTAACATGAAAAACAGTTTTGATGTATTAAGCTGTTCCCTTTTTGCTACAGGTCTAAAATGAGGAGAATTTTAATCGATTTCGATGCGATATCTTGCAAAAAAACCCCAAAAAATGGTCCTTCGAAACTTGCTTGTTTTTCCAAATTTCGTCATATGAGCAATGCTGTTCAATTCATGAAAAAATTTGTTCATATTGATACTAATGAGCCTGTCGTTTAGCCCAAAAATAGAAACAACTAGTGTTTGTAAGTATAGCTGCGACTTGGATTCCCGTAGTTTTCATAATTGAAAGACCAAAAATTCTGATACTAGCCTTGTGTTCTCATCGTAGATAAGTCCTTGCCTGTAGTAGTGCTTGAAGCAGTAGTGTTTGCTTCTCCATGTGACGTCGTTGATGGCAATAGTGCCATTGCTGTAAATAACGATCGTTATTGGGTCTTCTGTCTAGGAATACTAATGTACGGGTTGAGAATTTACATTCTGTCGAAGTCGATTTCTCGGAGGTGCTGAAGTTAGAGGTGGTCGAGTGCGTTGTATTTCCAGTGGACGCTGATGTCGCTGTAGTTCCTGCTAACGACGAAATATCATTCGTTTATTTGCAATCTGGAGCCCAGTGAACAAGCCAACATACCCATTGTTGTTGGTTGACCTGTGACATTAGCGATGGTAGGACTAGAGCTTGCTGCAGAGCTCGACGAATCCAACGATGTTGATGCCATGGTTGCTTAAATCACCAGTGAATTTTTCTATTATAGATTGACAGTTACATACCAGTCAACGCTCTCGTATCTGTGGTAGTACTAAACTTAAAAGCAGGAGACTTTGTTGCATTAAGCGACGGTGTAGTTGTCGTTGCCACTTTCGCTGTTGCTAGAATTATTATTAATCCGCGCTGAAAATGTAGGATTTTACGAACTAATGGTAAATGATGCTAAGACATCGCCCGCAGTGGTAGCGGCTTTGGTCACATTGGAAACAGTTGTATTTGTGGGAGTTTTTTCATCGTGGGTGCTCGATTTATTGGCCATACTTTGGCTGCAAAATTTAAAAAGAAAAAAAATTACCGTTTGCCACTGTCGAGCCGTTCGTAGCACTACTACCAAAGGTAGTGAGAGCAGTTGCGAGCGAAGGCGCTGTTGATTCAGAAGTTGTTGTTTTTGTAGTCAATTGTGTAGATGCTGAACTTTCGCCATTTTGGTGGCAGAGCTGTCACGATCACCTCCAAGCAAAAGTTACTCAACACGTTGTTGCGTTCTTCTCTGTAGTGGCACTGCCAGTGGTATAGCTTGTAACGTTTGTTGTGCTTCTCGTTGATGACAAAGGCTCTGGCGTTGTTGACGACACTGTAATCGTAAGTGAATGAATGCCTAGAATGTAAAAGTTTTTCAACGATCTTTGCCGGCTCTGATAAGGAGAGCTACCTGACTTAGCTCGGCCTCCTGATAAGGTGAAAATATATCTGGACAGCTTCAAACGCTGACTCCGAATATGTTTCTAGCTGCCGCGCGCCGTTATGGCTTTTTCCTGCGCAAAGTGACATATTACTGAATGTGGGAAGACTGCCTGTAAATAAAAATCTGAAGAAAAAGGTGCTAAGATATCGAAATAGTACAAATTTAATCTTTCCTCACTGAAAATAATTTTAACGCAAGTGTATTAGAACTTGGATAATGATGCCGTGATCCCAGTGAGTTGATGAGTATGCGAATTTTGTGCAGGAAAAAGCCTATAACTCACTTCGGAATGGGGCGCGGCAGCTAGCAATAGCATATTTGAATCAGCGTTAGGAGCTGATCCAGGGGCCGAGCTGAGTTGGGTACTTTCCCTTGTGAGTAGTGTGACAGTTAATATCGTTGGGATAGCTGTAGATGAGAGTGAATAAACGGTTTTCAATACTGTTGTTTTCAATTGCAAATCATATAGAAACCAAAGCGGCTTGTACAGCTTCTCGTCCCCATCAATTCTCTTTATAATAAAGGATAGTGGAAACACTTTGGATAAGCGGTACGAAATCGAGAACTTCAGAACAATTTCGGAATATGAAGCTTTGCTCTAAGCTGCGGTCCTCTCCCCAGCGAGAATGTTAATGTATGCGACTATGTAGACATGGATTAGGCTGAATTGCTTACTTTTCTCCAAAAGGAATTATGCACTGTTTCAAAGATGCATACGCATGGTATACGAACGCGCAAAAGGCTTTTTTAGCCCATCTATAAGTATTGGGTTGGCACACAAGTAATACGACCTCTTTTATAATTTTTACCTGAATATGGCACGTTCTTTGGTCTTATAGTTTCGCCATCGCATAAGAGGGTCACGACTGATTATCGTATAAGATAGAAAATTTTTGATTTAACATTTGCTAGAATTTGGGTGGGGGGGGGGGGAGTCCATGACATGATTGCAAAAAGAACTCGGCATAGGGGGGGGAGGAGCTTTTAGGCTAAGATACATTATATTAAGCAACAAATAAATGCTTCGTTCGCATTCATTCTCGATTCACGTTCCCGTGCGAAGTCTTGAACAATTATGAGGTCTCGAAGCTCATTTACCGGCTACCACCACAAGTTACTTGAATTTTAATTAATTTCAGTCACTCAGATATATTTTCGGACATACGTTCTGAGATTCGTTCAGGAAGACTACCTTTTTGGTTGACCATCATGGGTCGTAACCTCGATTGAACACACTCTTATCTGAGCTGGCAGAGATTGTAGAAATTGTCTAGCTGTGAACATATTGATAGCAGAGCTGCTGCTCTGTCTGCACACAAATTATTCAGCAATTAATTAACTGGTAACAGTTGAAGTCGTCGTTGAGGTAAGTAGACTTGAAATTGCTATTAATAGTGCTGTTGTTGACGATGAGTCTATATGTTTGTACAATAGCTATACACAGTAAAATGATGTAATGTCACTTGTATAGTGTTCCTCATTGCGGGGTTTTCAAATATTTGATTAATGCATTAATGAAGATAACGCAAACGTCGTTATCAATGACATCATTGGAATGTTAGCATAATTGCTTTGCTGCATCTCAGTTGCTTATGAAGCACTAGCTGGCTTACCCGGCTCCGCCGTATCCGGACCAAACTTGGCACACATACACTTCGGGCCCCGGCGGGTGTCACAGTCCACTTTTCGTTATCGATCGATGTCGATTTTACCGATTTTTATCGATTTTTTTGCAGAGTTCACCTACAGGGCTAGGAGTTGGCACAGGGGGGGAAGTGAGCATGGGGATTCCGAATACAATATTAGTTTTCAGAATTATCGATTACTTTTATTGATTTTATCGATTTTTTTGTAAATTTTGACATGCGAGGCTGGGATTTTGCACAGGGGGGTAATCGAGCATGGGGATTCCGAATACAATATTGGTTTTCAGGATTATCGATTACTTTTATCGATTTTATCGATTTTTTTGCAAAGTTTGAGCTACGGGGCTGGGAGTTCGCACAGGGGGGTAATCGAGCATGCAGATTACGAATACAATATTAGTTTTCAAGATCGTCCATTACTTTTATCGATTTTATCGATTTTTTGAAAATTTGAGCTAGGGGGCTGGAATTTGGCACAGGGGGGTAATCGAGCATGCTGATCATCCCCAAAGGGAAAAAATCGATAAAAATCGATAAAATCGATATCGATCGATGACGAAAAGTAGCCTATGACACCCGCCGGGGCCCGTAGCGTATGTGTGCCAAGTTTGGTCCGGATCGGTTCAGAAATGGAATTTTCTATTCGGAACATACGTACACACATACAGACAGACATACATACATACAAACAGACATTCAGCTCTATATATAAGATGCAAAACTTACATTTCATTGTAGACGTCGCACTGATGTAAGAAACAATAGGACTTGTTATTCCTGAAGAAGTTCTTGTTATTGTAGCTGTTGTTGCCTTTGATGACTTTTCGGTGGAGAACACATCAGAAGTTAAGGGAGCCTTCGGAGTTGTAGCTGTTGGCGTTGGCGTTGTTGGAACTGCAGTTATGGTAGTTTTGCTGCTGCACTTTGTCTGGATTGATTGCATACTTGCTTTGAAAAGCTTGAAATTGACCAAACAGGATATCTTTGCATGCGGTGTTATATATGCACACAGCCTTACCTCAATTTTCCGTTGATGAAAATTTTTAAAAACTAAAACGTTGTAATAATTAAACAGGACGCAACATAAAACGACTGCATTTGACTTTTCGATTTTTCTGGATTCGGCGAAACGATGAGTCAAGCATTTACCATAGCATTTAATGGAATTATTATGATTTAAATTCTTCTGCTAGCTATGCGAAATAGCAGCTACCCACAACTATACAATTAAGAGGTAGAAAATATGGTCTAAAACTTATTTGTGTCGGCAGTACAAAAAAATGATTAGAAGTTGTGATTGTTGGGAGAAAAAACCTGCTTGAATAGTTTATAGCAGTCATTTGTTTGTCAATATGATACATAAATTGAGAATAGCTTTAAGAAGAGATGTAGTTTTCATTTTTTTTGTCCCTCCCTCATTTTAGCGGATGTCTATAGAGCTGATGTCAAAACACTCTTCTGGTCTGCTAAACTATTCCTCAAAAGGTAAAAGTGCTCAAATGTCTGAGTCTGATAACTACTTTATGGTTACGTTTATCAGGAGGCAACTTACACTTTCCTGGTCACCCTTTTTCCAGAGATCATAACAATAACATTCCATTCTACACACTATGTTGCAATGTTATCGTGTTATAAGCGGTTCTGGTTCTTTTGCAGAATCACTGAGCAGGTAAGGAACGCAGTTGGCACTCAGAGCGAATCTAGTGGTATATTATATTGAGCCCCAGGCATACTTCTCGCGATTTTAGTCCCGAAGCCAGTTGGCAGTACTTAAGTGTCTCTAACTCATCGTAACCGCATTCTTAGCGTACAAAAAATAGAGCATTTCATCAGTTTACAAGAGTTATACATACTATGCATTTTAGTCTGCCAAAGTTGGACTGGATACATCTGGCGATTTGCAGATCGCGTGGCGATCAAAATGCGCAAAGTATGCCCGAGGACTTCATCCTTACAGATTACGCCATTGCAAATTGTTATAATACTGTAACATCTTTGTTAAATTGAGAAATTATTTGCTTCAAGTTTTCCCCCTAACTTCATTGCAGTTGCCCAATAAAGTCAGAGAATTACGTTTAGAATCTGTTGCGTATAGAAGGTGTTCACGCGTAGACGATTATCTCTTTCTTAACACTTTTGATCAGAGATTGGTGAAGCGTGGCTAAAGGGCCGGGCATACACCACACATTCATCGCCCCCGCGATTCTTCCAACAGAGCAACTGTCACGAATCCATTGCTTGCTAATCGTTTTGCATTGCAGTTGTGATAGTTAGCCGCCAGCAGCGTACCCAGAATTTCCGTTCGGGGGGGGGGGGGGAACCACCCAGAAACAATTTTTGATATGCTTCTCAATATTTTCGCGAACCTATAACCCCAAAATTCTAGAAAAAGGGGCATGGCGTCAGCCACGCCTCCGAAAAAGATTACAAGGCTAGATTGAATTTTCGGAAAATTTCAAAAATTCTTTCAATTACTTACAAGTACAAAGAAGTCATTTGAAGATTTTTATAAGTTAAGTGTGTAACTTTCAGAAACTTCGCGACCCATTCTCGGGGGGGAGGGGGGAGGGGGGGGGGGGAGCCCTTGGTACGCCACTGTTAGCCGCGTTCAGTCGCGTGGGAAAACTATTGCAGCCATAACGCAAGATGAATAGTATGCAATGGACTCATAACAGTTCTTGCTGGAAGAATTGCGGAGTGATGGAATCGCGTGATGTATGCCCGGCCATTGAAGGCAGTGACCAGGCAGATTCGCGCCTTGGGGGATATTGCTATGGTGGGATTGCTGGTCATCCCGCTGACCTCCAGGCGCAGTCCGGCTGGTTGATATTCCCTTCTGTGCAGAGAAAATAGCTCTTGAACCAGCGTGCGCTCGAACGACTTCGCTTACCGTTCGGAGTGGGATCCCATGATCGTTTTCCTGCACTGCGCAAACCATCCAAACTAAAAATTATAAGCAGCAGAAACTTCGCACCAGAGCCTCCCATGCACTGAAATTCTCGTCCGAGCTACCTTTGGTGGGTAAACTCCCCGAAAAAGGTCTTCTCACCCATTTCAAAGATAAACTGGGGTCTAGTCTACGGTCGAAAAGGCCCAAAACATGCAAAAAGATGGAAATGCAAATTTTGGCAAAAAATATGGAGCAAAATTTTGGGCATTCCTTTCAAGAGAGAACGGCATTTATTTTATGATATGATTAGCAGAAAAGGATCGAATGGTTTGTGACAGTATGAAAGTGAGTTTGAGCAGATTCAAAGTTACGACTTTGATCACTTGCAGAAGTCAATGTATAAATCAGATAACTTTTGTTTTAACAAAACAAACCTGTACAGAACAGCTTACACAAATCGTAAGTTGTGTAAACAATCTGAATGTACTCCGCTGTACACAAATAAGGATCAAGGTTGTGCTTATTCCAATCGAACATGAAGCCAAAGGATTGACGTCGTCGTGTTTCATATTTTTCATAGAGATCACTCCCTTTGTAACGTATGCACATTGGCGCATCTGAAATTGTGAGTTTTCAAGTCTGCTATCAGACTCAAAATAATAACTTATCCAACATCACAGACATGCTCAAAACTTTTCACCCAAGTGTAAAGAGAATAAGGCGTCATGTATTTATGAGAATTACTATTTTTTGGAGTTATGGTATTTATCTGCCTTATCATCATTGTAGCAAAAAAGCTTGCTGGATTCTTTGGAGGAGTTAGTGTTGCCATCCTGTCTTGCGTATCATTCCCATACATTCGTGTTTAAGTCCCGCAAGAGTCTGCTCACTAAATGGAAATCGCAAAGTAGTTTTACGCGAGAACCTGATTCTATCCGACCTCAGACGGGACGATGAAATTGCGTGATGTATGCATGGCCATAAGTTCGGGACAAAATCGAATTTTCGTGTAAGATTACCTTTTCAGCCCCGTAGTTTTAAGTTCCGCAAGACTTTTGCGGGACTTACCACGAATGTCTGAATTGTAGCGATGATGCAATTAAGAGTGCGCTAGAATTTCTTGCAATCAATATTTTTCTTTTTTCAACACTATCGTTCAAAACTTTCACTTTTGATGAAGTTTGAAAATTCTAGTAGGTTTTTCAAAATCATTTGCTTTCTTGAAATGTCTCAGGAATCTCGTAAAACAATTACCAAAATGCACTTTAGGACCCCAAAAATGATTCTCAAACTTTTAAGTTGCTTACATGAGTGAAATGTGCAGGGATTGTACTTGTTAATAAAGATAATTCTGAGAATTGTTTGAACTTCCAAATCAGCCTTGTAAAAAATCTTCTGAAAATTTGGGGTATGTGCCCCAGAAAAGAACTGAATTTTTGTTTTATGGCTCGCGCCACACACCTTTGATCGAAAAATTTTAGTTCGTAGGTTCATCTTACGAGCTTCATCTGACAAGGGAAGGAAGGTCGGTCGAAGCGGCCTTTTGCGATGATTTACACGATGTTGGAGGGCGTAAGGTGCTAATTCCAAATGTGTCCTCCTTATCTGCGAAGCGTTCCTAAGGATAGAAGAGGAGTTATGAGCGTTTAAAAGAGCAAAAAATGAATGTTTTCTGGGATAAACATTTGCAAAAATTTTCCCAGCGCTTGAATGAGACAGCTGGAGCGCGGATTATATCTCATCTAAGAATATTATTTTACAGGGTGCTGCAAAGAATACCAACGGTCCATTTAAGCGCTAGGAAAGAGGCTGCTACTGTTTTTATATTATTTGCACATTCAATTTTTTTCACCAAAAAACGCTCATAACTTCTCGTACAGGACGCCGCAGATAATGAAGACAGATTTGGAATCAACTCATCTCAAAAGGCCACCTCGACCAAATATCATTCCCTTGTAAGACGCTCAAGCGTATAATTCTATTTTCAATCTAATGAGCATTTGAAAAAAATTGAGAATCTTGCAAAAGCGCATAATACCTTTTCATGTCTTGCCTCGCTATTTGGCTCAATATCTTCGATTACATGTAAGAGAATTTTTCTTACCAGCTGCAAACGTAGTCGTGTGAAAGAATGCAGAAAGGCACGTTATCCACAAAGTCATTTTTTCTCGAAGGCTCCCACAGCAAGCGCTTATAGAACAAATGATACTCAAATTTTGGAGTCACTCAGATTCTTCTCATCCTGCAAAACGAGTACAGCTTACATACTCCATAAATACCGTGAAATATTGAGCATCAACACGCTTTTCATGAAACCCAACAGGTTCAGCAACTAAAGGGTGAATAGTCGGGTTTCACTTTGTCTTACTTTCAGATAAATCATTGTAATCGAAGAGATAACAAGTTTCTGGTTTTCAAACAACTGTGCATGACGTTGTCGAGTACTATACATCGCCTAAGATATTATAAGACAACATAACATACCGTTTTTGTATTAGGGTGTCCCATAATTTTTTTGACCGTTTTACTATAACCGTCGTTTCTTCGTATTTTTCCTTCAACTGGTGTAGCTTGAGTAATTAATCGACAGATAAAAGAAAACTCTACAAGATGGCTGTGAAGAATCCGCCCGAATCGTATTTCACCGGAAGTTTTGAGCTAAACTCTGATAGCAGTCGAGAACGAACTTTTATTTAAAAATCTTATCTCCGCCCCAAAATGTCTTAAAAATTCCCCATTTATCAGGTTGTCCCATAAGTTCCGCCCGTTTTGGTTTTCAGTTGCAATAAATCATGGCATCTGTCCTTTACCTCATTTTCGGATGTTGTAATGACTATTGAATCTGACCAAGTGTCTTGCATTTATATTTTTGATCATCCTTCTCCTATGGATATCGTATCAAAAACTGATAAGCAGTAAACTACAAAGACATAAAAAAGCGTCAAAGAAAGTCTGCTTTCAGATTTTCAAGAATGAGCAAAACACTGACCATTAAAATCAAGTAAGACTAATGCATGCTTGCTGTAAGATCATTAATTTGAATGTGGAAGACTTCAGGATGATATGGAACTGACCAGGCTTTCGACAACTAATAAAACGTGGTAAAAACAATGTTTGCTAGGACTGTCCAATTCAAATGTGCTAGCGTAAGTGAAGCACAATAAGTACTCAAAATTAATAGCATAATGTGTTCCGTTCAGAAGTGCATTTGCACCTTTCAGAGGAGGATTGAATGATCTTTCAATCACTATTGACGTTTTGGAGTTTGAGATCTGCGAGAAATACCCGAATGGAATTTGATTATTCTTATTACCAGTGCGTCACCTCTGCTTCGCAGAGGCTCGCACTGGCTCTACTACCCATGTGCCTTACTCATTCTCGTAATATCGTGGTACTGAAACTCACCGCGCTAAGCCGACTACCACGAATAAAATGTAAACGTGAGATCGGTGATTTCGCGTGGATGAAACTTTTCGCAGGAAGACAAACACAAATTTCAATAGGTTTTTGAATTTGTCATTGCTTGATAGTCACCATAAAGGCAATAGTCACCGTGTGCTACATCTCTGCGCAAAAATCTTCTCAAAAGCTTGGCTAGAACCTTCGCAAATTGACCATTCACGCAACCAATTCTTTTTGGCGCCGTTTTCGTTATGTAGTAAACTTTTGACCACTTTTTGCGCCAAAGTCCATTGATTGCACATTTGCTTACCAAACACATTCACGACTTTGCAAAAAGTGGTGATACGGACCAAATTTTGCGAGATAGAAGCCAGATGGATCCGCTTGGCGCGCAATTTCTGAGGGATCCACTCAACGAATCTACTCGGTGCTTCTACATGTTGGACTTTCATGAGGATAGCATGCGCTATGCAAAATTTGGGCTTAGAACGCTGGCTGGAACACGCTGCACGAATTTCGTAACAGACGGACACACACACACACATACACACAAAAACACGTAAACAACCCTTAGCCCGTTATTATAAGGTCTTGATATTTAGGCAGTGTCCCGGCAGATTTTGCATTCCATCTTTTGGGCCATTTCGATCCGTAAGCTTTTGATTTGAGCTTTGTAACGGTTGAAAAAATTTCGTAGATTTTACTTGATTTCCGAAAGGCAGCTGGGACGAGATTTTTGATGGAAGGGGTCGGGAGACCCTGGCACGAAGAACCTGCTGCCCTAACTTTTGCTTTGGATAGCATGCACAATGCGAGAGAGCGGTGTTGGGGTCCCGCGCCGAACGGTAAGCGCCTTTTAAGCGCGGGACCCTTGATAAAAGGCTATTTTTTCGGCTCAGGGGGAACAGCAGCCGGACTGCGCTGGAAGTCAGTGGGATGACCAGGAACCCCAGCATAGCAATATACCCCAGGGCGCGAATCTGGCGAGACCCGTGTGTTGTGAGAACAAGATATAAGACACAGATAAAGGATAAGTATGTTATGTGGATAAGATCAATTGTTGCAGATATGAGGATGACACGCATTCTGCAGCATGATACATAAGCCACATCGGTGATCATAAGAGGGAATTCCAGTGTCACACCTGGGCTGTCCAGCTACCAAGCCGCTGATGCCGCCTTCACCCGAACCACCTGCCTTCCCTGTTCGAGTTCATCAGACCTCTGTGATTCATCCACGTTTTCTTGCCGATAAATCAATTCATGTTATAGTCAGGGTCAAGCTTGTGATGCGACTGTCGCAACGGGGGGTCGTAAGAGGGTATCTAAAGTGGGGGGGGGGGGTCGTAAGAGGAGGTAGTTGACTAGAATACCCTAGGCTTCAAAGAATCGAAAAGCAAGTAATTAGTTATGTTCTTTACAATAAATCTATAAAAAAGTGGAAATCAGAATAAAAAAGATAAAAAATCTGTAGAAATTTTCAAAAAAAAAAACATTTACATTATACAAAACATTCAGAGCTCAAAACACTTTTGAAGAATGTATCATTTGGTAAAAATGCTAAATCTACGGATTGCCCTAGAAATCTTGCTTCTGAAGCCTTCCTGAAGTCTCACACACTCGACAAAAGCGAATGTCTTTACCAGCTGTGACCATCATAAAATTCTAAATCTTTTGTAATGTTTTACGGGCTAATATGATTTATCTGTACTTTTGAGATATATCAGATCACAATTTGGTGTTATTTTGTCAACTGTGGTTTTTCTTATGATTTTATGTATGGTAGCAAAAAGTCAGGAGAGGGGGGTCGTATCTGGGTCGCATCTAAATTTCTTCGGAGCTATTGAAGCTTGTTGGCTGCAATTCTGCTATAATATGAGGCCATCCTCCTACTTTCCCTCGTAAAAATTGCAGGCTGTTTTATAACTTCTCTGGTCAGTTACAAAATTTTAAGCTCAAAAATCCCAGTTTTTGCTTTTTAGGATCGCATCTAAATTTACGAGAGTCGCATCTAAATTTTTTCGAGCTTACTGCTCCTCAAAAGCTGAAACTTTTTCTTTGGATAGTCTGGGCACTATACTATAGAACCTGTGCTTTGCAGCCTCTCAGTCTTTTCCTCGCCTTAGTTACGAATTTTCAAACTACTGTGCTCATGCACGTTTTTGACGTCGTTCTGGACGGCGCCCAAGCGGTTTTTTTCGCGGGAAAAACTGTGGAAGAGGTAGGAAGTAAGCTTCTTAGTCGAAAACATCTTTTGTAGTTCAAGAATGTCATTTTTTTTCTCCATGCAAAAATTTGTGTCGCCTACGGGAATCGAATTTGCTGGCCTGAAGTATGCCTGAAAATTCAAAAAAACTTGCAGAATCTCAAACATTATTAAAGGTGTGTATGTGTGCTACAGATGATGGACGCACCCATTGGCCTAGAAATTCTGCTTCCGAAACCTCACTGAAGTTCTCACGCAGGTATTTTTTGAGATTGACATTCGTTTATGCATGTTACCGCGAGGAATGTGGGCAGGGGAGGTAAAGGGGATAAATGAGTGAGGGTGGGGAGGGGGGGGGGGTCGTACGGATGGGTACCTTCAAGGGGGCGGTCGTAAATGAGGGTCCCGGATCGCATCAGCACGCTTGACCCTGGTTACAGTATAGCTGGTTCTTATAATAAACGACGCTGTCCCACTGTGTTGCTACCGTCAAGTAAGCCTCTTCCACGGCGCTACGTTTACTGGTACCAGCCGAGTGGTTTCGATCCACGTGAGCAAGGTAGGTCCGGTTCAATTTCCGTATCAACCCTGTTGGGTTCTCCACCGGAAATAAATGTGGCTGGCAGCAGAAGGAGAAAACCGCGTTTCAAGTATTTTTTCTTTTCCCTGTGTTTAGAGTTTTGATATGACCACGGCAGTGTCCCTTCAAAACTCGAGCGCTTAATGTAAATCAGTGATGATATTCTGCTGGATAACGACGGTTTTTCTTTTCCTCGAAATGAAAGTCATAACTTTTCGAGCGAAAATTAACGTTAGTAAAGATAGTAGTGCACTGTTGGCAAAAAACTGTATGTCGACAATAAACGAAGAAAGAGAGAGAAACCCAGCAGCCCCAGTTTTGTGTAAGCCGGCTAAGAAGATAAGAGAAAAGTGGATTCCCCTGCAGGGACAGTAGTGCCGAGCTGCGAACCGTTTTTGCATTGTTATGGTGGGCCATAGTCAAATGCACCGAAGAGGGGCAGCAACGTTTATGTTGAGTTCAGTTGAAAGGCGCGCAGAGTAATTTAGCTGGGTTATAAAACAATTTTGTATATTAGAGGCTCTGGTTCAATAGCTTACGTGTTCGCATCTTTCTTTTTTTCCTGCAGTTTGATACAGAGCTCGGCGAGATTACTATTCGAGTAGAATATTCCTTTTTTTTACAAGTTCGTCCCCCGCATGCATGCTTTTTTCTCGATCGATCTAGTCCTAGCATGAGCCGGCCTGACCGCAAGCTTGATAACGCATGCCATCTTCATTCGCATCACCTGCGCAGGCCATCAGCTTCACTTATGGTGAGCCATTTTCGCTATTTTTTTATTCTTTCGTTATAATAACAATATCGTCCTCTGCTTCCTTTTTTTGCAATATTGGTAATGTTACACGCTTTTGACTCACTTTTTCTCACTTTCGCTATTTCCGTTGATATGTAAGTATTAAATTTATGTGTGATCGCGTCTCCTCCCGAAATAACAGTTTTATCGCAGGTTTTCAAAGCTTTTTGCATAGAAAAGTT